ACTTTCAAACAATAAAAAGTATATTGAAATACTTCAAATTCATATCACAAAGGGAAAGAAACTAGCTTGAAAAGTCTACATACTATATGACTTTAACTCTACAATATTATGTAAAAGGTAAATTATGGAATCAGTACAAAGGTCAATTGTTGCCTTTGTACTATACAGAGCTAGGAAGAGATCATCAAGAGGTAAGGCCATAGAAGCTATCAGGCCTAATTGTGCAAAGTCTTGTTGACCAAGACAAAGTTGTGAGACTTTGGAAAGGATTTTGAAATCCAGTCTATGCTTGTATTTTAATTTTTATCAAATATTATTACTTTAATTATACATATTTATGGGGTACATCATGGAACTTCAATACATGCATTCAGTGTATACCAATCAAATCAGGGTAAGTAACCCTGATTAAAAACATCTCTTTATTATTATTTTATGTTTTGAGATTTGACCTCATCTCTTCTTGCTAGACATAAATTATATAATAGGGAGTATTATATAAGGCTGAGAGTATTGCTCAATGGTAGAACAGTTGCCTAACATGCATGAGGCCCTGGGTTCAGTCTCCAATTCTACATAATTAAATATACATGTTAGGCTACTGTGAACTATATAGCTCTATACTGTGCTGTAGAAAACTTGAACTTTTTACTTCTAACAGCACTTAACTACATTCTAGTATTTGTTATCCAACCTCATTCTATACTTTCCATCATCCTTCTCAACTTCTAGTAATCACTAATATATATATATAAATCAACTCATTTGCCATCCACCTATGAAAGAGAAAATTTAGTATTAATTTTTTATCTGGCTTATTTGACTTAAAACAATGCCCTCCTGTTCCAGTTCCATCCAATTTTGCTATAAATAATAGGACACCATTCTTTTTATGAATTAATAAAATGCAATTGTGTACACAGTGTGTATACATTCCATTATTCATTCATCCATTAAAGGACAGTGAGGCTGAATCCATATCATAGCTATTAGGAAAAGTATAGCAATAAATATGATTGGGCAAGTATTGATTTGATATGCTGAAATCATTTCCTTTGGATACCTATCCAGAAGCAGAATAACTAGATTATATAAGAGATCTATTTTTAGTTTTTTGGGGGAACCTGAATAATGTTCTTCACAATGGCTATTCTAATTTACTATTATCATCAAAAATATATAAGAATTTTGTTCCTCCAGCTCCTTCCTAGCATTTATTGTCTTTTTGATAGTGGCCATTCTAATTGTGGAAAGATGACATCTCATTGTAGTTTGATTTGCATATACCCAACAGCTAAAGATGGTGAAATTTTTTTCTCTAATAAATTTGTTAGAAATTTTAACTTTATTAGTTTGAGAAATGCTAATTCATATATTTATCCATTTTTAATTGGATGAAGGAACCATAATAAAATGACTGAGGATGTAGCTCATTGGAAGAAGATTTGCCTAGCATGTGTAAGGCCATCAATTTGATCACCATCACAGGGAGAAAAAATAATATCAAGAAAATAAATAATCCAATTATGTTTTATTTTTTAGGAGTCATTCAATAGTATTTTCTATTCTTACTTCTACCAATATTTTATGTAGAAATCACAATAATAAATGAATGAGGAATGATATGAAAAAATAACACTTATTTATAAGTTTGAGCACTTAAAATTCTACACCCAATTCTCCAAAGGATTAATTTTGGTATTTCACTTGTGGCTGAACTTTCTTTCATCCATGTTCTCTTCCCATACATTAGGAAACTAAGCTTCGGAGATTATTATATTTAATTAAGGTCTAAGATGTAAATTCTATTCATCTTTAAGTTGATATATGTTAACAAGTAAATAAAACAGATATATAAAGATGAAAGATGGATGATCATCACCCTGAATACTTAATTAGATCTTCTGGATAACTCTAATTCTACTATGCTCCATCTACCAATAAAAACAGTGCTCTAAATTATTTAGATTATAGATAACAGCTGGACCATGTCTATTTATAGAAAATATAGGATACTTTGTTATGTAAAATAATCTACTTCTAAAAATATTAAACTACATTTTCCCTTATAGGTATTTAATGCAAATTACTTCCTCTTTGCACAGTTAAAATATGTCTTCATTCCAGTTTGTACTTTCTTCTTCTCCTCAAAATTCATCAAATCCTTTGAGTTATAAAATATTAAGTTGCTGTTCCAAACATTTCTGTTATTTGTGGTGTTACTGTCCTGAGGAGCAGATAGAACACTTTTTTCTAATGTCTACTGGATATTTAGTCTCATTAGCAATTTTGAGCAATCCCTCAAAAACAGGGTGGGCTTCCTGTACGAGGTTCAGATTAAATGCTATCACTTTCAGAAGTGCCTATCTAGGCTCCAGGAGAGAAAGTTGTACTATTTTGTCCCTTGAGGAAAGCTCTCCTAATGATTAGTTTGTACAGTGTTTGCCAATTGCCTTATAATTTTTTCAGTATTATTACCACAAACAGTGTCCTAGTTATTTCCTTTATTTTCCTCATCCTGAAGTTGAGCCCATGGCTGACTTCATTATTATCCTCTGCATGCTCATTTGCCCCATATATGTCAATGGCCATTGGGTAAGAGGTCAAAATTAATTAAGAAAGTTTGCTGATTTTTTAATGCATTCATAAGATGTGATCCTGTCCTCTTTCCCTAATATGAATGTAAGAACAGTGTATGTTTCTGTATTTCTCTATAAGATTTTCAACTACTTTGCTGTCATGATTGTCCAAAGAATGTGTTTGACTGATCTAACATGTCAAAAATTTGAATCCAAGTGTAAATAAATGTCTAAAGCAATAAAACACCTCTTTCCTTAAAAACTGAATTAGGTCTTTGCTAAGAATTGTATCATTGCTCATTTACTCTATCAGGAGAATAAACTTCGTTAATAGTATGAGCCATGGCATCTTGAACACAGTAAATACTTAGCTTACACTTGTGGACAATGTTGATGACTTTATATCATGAGGAAATAAACACCTAAACTACAGTCAAATATTAGACAATCTTGCTATCCTGTGTCTTCTTTTTTGGGTTCATACTTTGAGGATGACACTTAAAACCAAGTACTGCAAATATACTGTACTGCTGGAGAACTCGGAGCAGTTTCTTCTCATTCAGAAAACTAGTTTCTTTTTTATCCACTGTGTTTAATATAAATACAATTTCCAGAGTACATAAAAATCTCTGTTTTAGTTTATAGAATGTAATCAACCTTTTTATTCACTGTTGTCATTTACAAAATGCAATAAGCCTGACCCATTGACAGTCATGGGTTAATGTATGGATCAATCTTGTTCAGTGGAAATTCATTTATGGAGGAAATGAGCAGTTCTGATCAAATTAAAAAGAAGAAGATCATTTGTCTTGAATTTTTTAGCATGTCAAGGGCATCCAATAAATTGTATTCTGTCACTTAAAGTTTTATACAGAGCCTTTGAATTTCAGAATAAAGTAACTACTTTCACCTTATTTTGATACATTTTTGCAATTGGATCTGCTAAAATGAATAATCCAAACTAATTATCAGCTTGTCAGCAATTGTCATAGCTTTAAACATGAAGATAAAGCAGAAAGATCATGTTTTTAATGTTATCTACCAAAAATTAATTCTTTGAAATAAAGAAAAAATAGCTTTCAACCCTCCCAACCAACAGGGGCTGTTCAGTTCCCATTATTCTTCATGATAAAACAAACAAAAAATTGTAGTCATATTAATCTTCTATAATCTTATAAACATGTAGTTGAATTAACATTTTATATAACAATGTAATTAGTGAGAGCTTAAAATAGTGTAAATAAAAGGAATATGAAAGAGACATTTTTCTAAAGGTCTATGCAAAGGAGAATATTGGAGACAAGTTTAGGTTAACATAAAAGGAAGAAGATAATTACTATGAATTGTTTAGGCAAAAGTTTTAATGCTTTGTATTATCTTGGTGTTTTTTGTTAAATTACAAATGTAATGCTTGGGTCTCCTCATAATTTAAAACATTTAATGTCATTTACATAGATGTTATGTTATACTGTATTGACTGATATACAAGAGTAAATATACAAGATGATTTACAATTTTTGATTTTCTATAATTGCTTTCTCAAATTCTTTTGGTGACAGTTTTTGGCCATTTTCTGTTAATGCCTTAAGGATCTCCAAAGACTTATGATGATCTTTCTTGTCTGACCTTTCGGTTCTGGAAACCAATCTCTAGCTCCAAAGGATCTTTGCATCTTCTTTAGACACCAACCAAGCCTCACATTCTCTTGAAGTTTTATTCCTTAATCTTGGGGCAGGTTACCTGAAAACAACCTCCTCTAATTATTTTAGACTAGTCAATTTATCAATGATATTAATACATTTGGTATCTAAATAGTCATTAAAATACCTGGTATAGCTTTGTCAAATGCTGTTCCCTAACTATATTCATGTGCTGTGGTCAGTTTTAATAAAGTATTGTGGTCTAAAGCTGTATTTTAATAGAGACATTTTTTTTTTAGAAAGGGAAGTCCATTTTAGTGTTAATGGAGTTCAGATTAGTACAATTTGCTGAGGAAGCAGATTCATCCTCCTTGAACATACAATACTCTGAGCCCACCCTGGAAGTAGTGCTGTGTCCTTGGGCAAGACAGGAATTCTGCCAAGACTCTGACAGTATTAAGCAATTCCTCTACTGGCATCCTCCTTCCAAATGCATTAAACATTAAAGGACAATGCATTAAGTGACTTGTACCTTGGTATGGATCAATTTATTAGAATGCTTTTCTCCTGAAAGGAAGGGCTGATGGTACAAGTGATGGATAATAAGAAGGGTAGGGAGAAAGCAGAATAAAGTGCAGTGTGTTCAGAGAAGGAGAGAGGCACTGGGGAGACTTTTACAAGGCCCATTTTCATCACATCTTACTCTATTATTTCCTGCATTTCAAATACAATGAAAAAAACCCAATTATCATAACAATAATCTTTGATAAATAAACTTTACCACAGATCCAGGTATGCAGATACAAGTGGTGCCAGGTTCATTTTCCATGCACATCCTGAGAGTACATGAGTGGGGAATGTACTCAAGTTCCTTCTCACAGTGACGTCCAGACCATCCTGTTAAATAAAACCCCAAACAGACATTTAGTTTTCAACAATAGTAATAATGATGACAGCTTATATGTATTGGTATTTACTATTTGTGAAACTGGCCTAAGTATTTTATACAATTTATGTCAGTTCATCTTCATAATCATTTTATCAGGCAGGTAGTTGCAATCAGTATCTCTAGTACATGAGAAAATTTAACTGTGAGAAGTTAAATAGTTTGCTCTAAAATCACATATTATGTAAGAATGGAAGCAAATACATGTCAAACTAAAGTTCCAGAATTTATTCCTGTTGCCATTCAACATTATATCTTCAGATGTCTTCATTTATTTTACCTTGTATAAAATAGATAGAAGGCAATGGAATAAACATAGTCTATGATTCCATTTAATATGAATTTTAAACTGAAGGAAAGCAACACTATCAAGATCTAGATATGCATGTTTTTTATAATACTTGTAATATTTTATATTAATATTATCAAGATATCATTCTATGGAATGTAAATATTTTGCCTATGCTCAGTTGAGCATTGAGTGTAAAATTCTTTTTAAAAAAGGTTATCTGATTTCCCATAACAAAACACTGTTTTCATGTGCATTTTATTTGTTTTCTTCCTAGTATTGCATCATCTTTATCATTAAGCTGGAGTTAACATTGCTAAGCCCTCCACAACATAATGTGTCAGCAGCTGTGGTCTCCTAGGTACATATGAGGTACATTTTTCAAACCATTGATTCTTTCATGTCAGGAAATTATTTGTAATTATCTTAGTAAATTTACCAGGTCAGCTATAGCATCATATTAATCTAACTATCTCATTCTACATGGGTACAACATGTCTTCAGAGAAAGTTCCCAGTGCTGGCTGCTGGCTGCTAGCTGACTAACTATGCCAGCTATAATTGCAACGTTTTAACCTTTCTTTATTTTTCTATGTATTACCCAATACATAGAAATAATTTCTATGTATTACCCAAGCATTTAACTTGAAAAGCAGCTACTGAGAAATGTGAAATATTACTGTTGTTTCTACTTAAGAATGTAACCTTATTGTTCTTCCTGAAAAATTATAGGAGAAAATTAAATATAGTATTCTAGATAAATTAGAAAATATTTACTGTAATGCTACTTTATAAAATGAGGACCACTTTTAAGTACTTAGAAATGTCCAGATCAAACTTAGGTATATCTGCTAGAAGGCTAAGTGTATCAAATCTTTGTCTAAGATTCTTTCCACTTTGCAATGCTCTTTCATGTGCTTAGATGATTCCATGGGGATCTCCACTCTGGAAGTTACAAAAGACAGTACAGAAAAAAAAAAAAGAAAGAAAGAAAGAAAAAAAATACTTTTGCAACTACTGTAAAAAGTTTTTATGACCAGTCATTCACAATATTCACATCTTTGAATCTCTCAAACTTAGTTGAGCATAACGCATATTCATTAAAAATACTTGCATCCTAAGAATAGTTTTTACGAAAGTTGAACACATACAAATACAATACAATACAATACATACATGGAAAACTTAGTAACATTACTTAGAAACACCTAAGAAATATGAATAGAATTTTGAATATAAAATTTAGAATAGTTACTTCAGGTTGAAGGGAAAGAAATATGCTCTTAGAGGCATATAGAGGAGGCTAGAATTATTGGTAACATCATATTTCTTGATGTAAATATGATTTGCTTATTATATATTTTATGTAAGGACATATGTATTCTTATTGATTAGAATGTTTCATGATATTTTAAACAATTAAGATATTATAAATTTCCTCTTGCTTTTAATACCAGGACAGACATGGCAAAGTTTTAAATTATGAGGACAGTAAAAAGATGGAGCTGGAGTTGTAGCTCAGTGATAGAGCACTAGCAAGCTTATGGCCCTAAGTCCAATCCTCAGCATCACTTAAAAAATAAATAAATAAACTAATAAAAATAAAGATACTGTGTCCATCTACAACTAACTAACTAACTAAATAAATAAATAAATAAATAAAATGTACTGGACCAATTAAATAGACAATAAATATTTTAATCAAGAGTATTTTGATATTCTTAGATACTCTACTCTTTTTCAATAGAGGAGAACACTTCAATTTAATTTCTCTAAAACAAATGCTGGGGTGAGCTAGAGGAAGAGTAACTGGAGGAGTAGGCTGAAGGGCCTAATAATGATTAGGCCCCCTGTGTTTGCATACTCTCTCTGACTAAATTTAGACTCCTATTCTTCCTAGGACAAGACTAAATTAGAAGATAAATAAATCAGGGTGTAACACAAGAAGTATAAGTCACTTTACATAATTACAAGAAAGGGCTAAGAAGTAACTCCAAGGACAGATAGGACTTTCTGGGAAGACTTTGCCCCTCAGCTAGAATGATGAGGTGACAAATAGTAATGTTGATTTGGAGAACTCACTGTATAATCCAGGTGAGCCATGTTGCTGGGAAGTGTCCACTACAGTACCCCAGCTGCTCTGCCTGCCCTGGAGTTCATGACAGAATACCAACTGCCTGGTCTGGCTGCCACTTGTACTTGTGCTACATTTTAATATACATAAAGTCAGTGACCGACAGTGAGATCTTCTGCAGGAAACCACATATCTACATGACCTTCTTTACCACCAGAAACCACAGGAGCCTTCAGAATCAAGATATATTTATTATTACTGAGACTCAACTATATTCACGACCTCAGCTTCATAAGCATCTAGAAATTGTAGCTTTTAACTTGCTTGCCACTGCAGTACAGGATACCACAAGAGACAGGATGGATGCTGAAAACCAGTCATACTCATCAAAAATAAAGAAATAAGTAAAAAAGATAGGTACTTATACTGCCATGAGGTGACATGATGGTGAGAAATGGAAAGAGAATAAGAGAATATAAATCAGACCAATGGATATCCATTGGGCAAGATTTAAAATTGTGAAACAGAGCTGAAGAAACACATTGTCCATTAAACCTCATGTAAGTTTGATGGTCACCATAATAGGGCAACCAAATATTAAAAAATAGTTTGGTAATTAAAAAAAAGAAAGAAAATATTTCATTAGCAATCCAAAAAATGTGGTCAAATCATGATGACTACAAACTAAAATTATTAATCTAATATCTGCACAAATTAGAAAATAAATAAATCCTGTTAGAACAATGACAAATAATTCAAGTAAAAAATAAATATGACTTTAGATTGAACATTATGATAAATATTATAGTGATACTTAAGTTTATCAATTAAAAAAACTTTAAATACATCTATATAAATAACTGGAAACATATTTTCATTCTATGTTATCCCAGAGCAGTTATATTAGGTTGAGTTTGTTAATGAAATTAAAAGTCACTCTTTCAAAGAATTTTATATTTTCTTTTAATTCCAGCCTCCTTCTCAGTGCCAAGTGATAAACCAACAATAATTCTTACTGGTTATTATATTATCTAGTAATTGGATAGCATAAATTAAAATTACTTTTTAGTATAATTTTAGAATATGAAGAATTGATTTTTATATTTAAGACATCATGAAAATATAATCTTATAAACTCTTCTTTATGTCAAAGATTATTTCACATTTTATGGGCCTTGATTAAAAAGATAAATTGTTCTGTGTGACTTCTGTTCTAAACACAGAATTCCCATTCCTAACTTTGTAATTGTGAGCACTGGTAACAGACATGATCTATGTTTCTGTTTCCTTGCCATTAGGAAGAGGCAGCATTTCTGCTGCAAAAAGAATAATGCTGCTTTAAAGGCACACTGTGTTTCTGCAGTCTACATCATCACTACAGACATCATTGCACCCTCCTGGGTATAAATCGTATTTGGGCCCAATGACTGCTCCAGGGATTCAGAACAACAATGGGTGCAGCAATCACATTTGCAGCACAGAGTCTGTTCCTCATCACTTTCATATTGCTCACAGTAAGATGGCTCTGGCTGCACTTATGAGTGTAAGTTAAGCATTGTTATTATATAACAATGTCAATGGGACCATTTAGTCTAAAACACAACTTACGTCAATGCAACTTGAATCCCTGTATTGATACTTTAGTACAAATGAGTTCATAAACCATTCAGTTCATTATATACATACAAGATGAACTGTATATTCAGGACTGTCCTAAATGCTATTCGGGTTGTCTTTTCATGAAAATTTCATGTAAAGGGGAAGAGTGAGGTCTGAAATCCAACTTGTAATCCACTTGTCAGACATTGTACCTACTGGCTGGGAGGAAGGGACACAAGCAAATAGTTTGCCTACTTAAAGAATCAGGACTGGTATAAACATGGCTCTGTCAATGACTTTGCAACACTGGCTAACATCATAAATAATTTCCTTTTTTTTTTTTCAGTCTGTGCTATACCTCCCAGAGGACCCATTTTTGTACAACTTTCCTACTAGGATGTGTTAATACAAAGCTAAATAACATTTAGAATGCCTTTTAGTCTACTTAGATCCAATTTAAATGTTAGTGTGTTCTACAGACACATCTGTTAAGAAAACAAGTATTTATTTTTTCAAAGTTTGGTCTGTTCAGAATGTTTCAGGACTGCAGGAGTCATACAGCTGTTTAGATTAAAAGAGGGAAGAGAGAAGAAAGATAAAATTATAAATCTTATGGCACAATAAATGAACCATTCAAGGTTATTTCCATGAAAGAAGAGAGAGATATTTGATGAATATGAATAAATTTAGGCAATTGGTGACATGACGTAAAGTTAAGGAAGATTGCTACAACTGACAGAAATAGAAAATAGCAATGATTTATGATGCTTAACTTAAATACCTAAGAATGCCTAGCCAAAGTAGACTTCCATCTCACTATGTAAGATTAGCAAAATGGCATGAAAAAGATAAGACTCTAAAAAGAGTTATGAATATTATTTAAGGTTGGTGTTTTCCATGGATGACAAGGAAAAGCAGATAAGCATCAACCAAATGAATTAAACTTTGTGTCTTTGTATGACATCTGTGAAAATACAAATTCTCTGACAGAGCAGTGGAAAGATTTTGATTATAAAAGCTTTTAAAAAGAGAATCTGACAGATCTGGGTGTGAGACCTTTTTGAAGAATTCTCACAGTTATTAGAATCCAGACTAAACCATAACACACTGTTGGATATTATTGGAGAAGACTCCTTTATAAATGGTTGTCAATTAGAACTCTTAATTGTAGGAAAAGCACTAAACATGAGGCTGATTCTTGTAGCAAATTTTTAACTGTACAATATGTTGCTGTTAACTATACACATGGTTGCTGTACAGCAGATATCTAGAATTTATTCATCTTGCATAACTGAGACTTTATGGGGAGTTGTTATTCAGCAACATAACAATTTTGGGGAGAAATGAGAAGTATATAAATGCTAGGCTAGGCTTCCTGATTATGAATCTAGCTCTGCCACTAACATGTTCTGAGAAATTCCTGAGTGGCTCTGGGACTGACTGCTTCCTCATTGATAAAATGAGACTGGTAAAATGAGATACATTCTTCTCAAGGTTGTTATAAAAACCAGAGGAGTTATTGCATAAAGAAGAGCATGTTGTCTGTGTACCAATACCGTTATTGCTATCATAATTATTATTATTTTATAAGCACTTCTATGTCAAAGTCTTCCCAAATTTGACTCCCAAAGTTTGAAATTCAAAATATAAGGAAAGAAAAGTGCTCAATAACAGAATTTGTAAGGAGATAAAATGCTATAATTAAAAGATATAAAAGAAAATGTTGTAATTCTGTCAAAAACATTTTCTGTTGGGAGTGAGGAAAAATTTGACTTCAAAGGGGAACAAGAGTGTAGTTGGGGAAAATGGTGGTAACTGACTGACTGACTGTGGTTGTTTATATGCAACTTTTATGTGTTTGTCAAAAACATAGGTAGGTAACCAGAGAGTACATTGTGTTATAGGAATAAATATGCCCTCATAATATAGTCAACTATGACAGAGAAAACAAAGATAGATAAGATGGAAGGTGATCAATAGGATAAAGATTGTTTCTCAAATAACTTGGGAGAGAGGATGAGTTGGCATGTTTAAGAGTCATGGCTGCTGACATCCACTTGAAGCAGGGACCCAGTGGTCTACAGGAGGATGCACAACACTTTCCAAGAGTTTGTTTCATTTGTTTTTGCTCCTGCAAAAGGTAGTGAAGATCTGTCTTAATTCAAAAAGATCAGCAACTTTTAACACCTAATAACCTCAGAGGGTCTCATTTTAGGTCTTCTACTTTCTACTATGGAACTAGGGGGAAATGCTTAAGCTTCATTTGAATGCTGCAGCAATTTCAAAAATAGCTTCATGCTTCTAAGTAAATCCAGAAGAAGTAGGATTTTAACTTACAGCATCAAAACTAATCTAGAAGTGGTAATAACTTTAAGAACATGAAAACATATAAAAGTGTCAATTATATGTATTGGTGGGTTAAAAACTACAATTTATGTAGAGGTTGCACTCAACTTCTTTTGGAGAATTATTTCCATTGCTTATGTTAACTGTCATAGGGATTTAAATGTTAAGACTATGATAAATAGTGATCTGCTTAAAAGAGACCAAACTATGGAAATGGCATTTATCCTTTGTATCAGAAAATTTAATCTTTCCTTCTTTTATTTCAAAAGTTAAAGTTTTATGTATAGGAGGCAACTTCAAAATTCCATGGGCACTGATTTCTAGATGTGTTATATAACCAGATAAAATTTGGTACCAGTACTAAGTCAGAAATGAGTATGAAAGTAAACATATCTGGGCTCTCAGTGATTTCTAAACTTGGAAAATTCATGCAGGTGTTATTCATTGACACATACTCACTATTTCCTACAGCTTCACATAAATCTTATAAGCACTAATACCCACATGACTACCTGCCTGTTTTTCTCTCAGTAGACTCAATATTAAACTCAGACTCATGGGGTATTCTGAAGTCTTCTATAGAGTATAAAAATAGTGATATTTTTATATATCCAAAAATATACACCACATATAATACTTGTTGCTAAGGGAAATTCAGTCATTCCACATTACTTCTGGGTGGATGTACCTAAATGTTGAAGATGAATGACAGAAGAATAGGAAAAGAGCAACAAACATGAACATTTAAAGAAAAAAAAAAGGAAGAGGGAAAAATGATAAATGTTTATGTCATTATATAGTTAAAGAGACTATGGATGCTTTAACAAAATGCCATAGACTAGATGGCTTATAAACAAAAGACAATGATTTTTTCTGTTTTAGGGGCTAGGTAGTTTCCAAGATCAAATTGCTGGATGATTCAATGACCAGGGAGCCTGCTTCATGATTCTTAGGCCATGCCTTCTGCATGTGCCTTATAATAGTGGAGATTGCCAGCTCTCTGGGGACTCTTTTATGAGACCACTAATTCCATTCCTGAGAGATCTGCTCTCTTTACCTAATCACCTCCCGCAAACACAACCACTTAATAGTATCATATTGGTGATTATGTTTTAGCATATGAACTTTAGGGGAATGCAAATATTTCAGATCATAGCAGCAATTATTCCTTGCATAAAATCAGCATATTGACTTTGTCCATTTCTGTGCTGAAAATTATGAAAGAAATAATGTTGTCAATATCAATAAGCACTAACATTTATAAATGACTTGCTCTGTGTAGGAGATATTTGATATAAAGATCAAGAATCTGAAGCTTATATAAATTCAAAAAATCCATTCCTTCTGACAGCCTAAGTGATTGCTTTCCAGTGTCAGAACATTCATTTCACATTTTTTAAGCACAGGGATTGCTTAGAACCTGATTGGTAGTCAGTAAAACTATTGATGGAGTCTACTGTTAAAACTGTACTATGTACACATATACATCTGTATACTAACATACATATTGAACATTCATTCATTTTATACTTAATATTTTTAATAATTACCTTGTTGACATTTGCAAATGTATCCATTGATAAGATCTTCACAGATTGCCTCATGTAGACATGGTAATGAAGTACATTCATTTATATTATCTTCACAAAATTGACCAGAAAATCCAGGAAGGCATCTAAGGAAGAATAGTGAAAAGAAAAAAAATCTCTATATATACATATATATATATATATGTATATATATATATATATATTTTATGAGCAATATATCTATATGTTAGGGTCTGTAGACAAGTCAAGATGGTGCCTGGCATTTTGCCAGAGGGAGTGGTTTGTGAAGTAATGCCAGCTCTCTCTATATATATACACATATATGTATAGTATATGAGCAATATCTTCTGCAATTCCCTCATTCAAATATGTTTTTAGAGATCCAACAAAATGTAGCTAGTGATCTGTGTCACGATAGTATGATGCATAGAATTTTGAACCCCCAAAACAGGTCCAAGTACTATGACCCCAGTAACTCTGAACATGATGTTATTTGGAAGAAGGATTTTTGCAGAGGTAATTAAGCATCTTGAGATGAGATCATTCTGTATTAATTCAGTGGGCTTTAAATCCAATGATGAGTCCTTAGAAGAAGAGATACAGAGAAACACAAGGGAGGAGGCCATGTGCAGATGGAGGCAGAGTAGAGGTATGTAGCCCCAAGTTAAGGAACACACAGACTGTCTAAGTGCTGGAAGAATTTCCTCTAGAACCTTCAGAGGAAGTATAGCCTTGCCTAAACTTTGAATTTTTTTTATTTCAATTTTCACAATGGTGAGTAACCCAGTTTCATTTTTTTCTACCAAGCTTTCAGTAATATGACATTTTAATAATAATAATTCTGTTAATCAATGAATATGAAAGGTTTTTCCATCTTCCAGTATCTTCTTCATTTCTTTCTTCATTGTTCTCAATTTTTTACAATGAATGGTGGCTAAGATTCAGGTGAAGAGGAAACCTTACACATTATTGGTGGTAATATAAATTATATTATGGAAGTCAGGATGGAGATTCCTCAAAAGACTCAAAATAGTATACCACATATGATCTACCCATATCTAGTGTATATCCAAAGGAATTAAAGTTATTGTAGTATAGAGATACCTGAATACCTATGTTTATTATGACATAATTCACAATAACCAAGTTATGGAATTAGTGTAGGTACCTATCAACAATGGATGGGTAGAAAGTGTGGTAATACATAAAATGAAGTATTATTCAGTCATAAAGAAAAATAAAATCATGCCATTTTCAGGAAAATGGGTGGAAATGGATATCCACATGTTAAGCAAAATAATCCAGACACACAGAAAGACAAATATAGCATGTTTTCCCTCATTATGCTTAAATGTCAGACCCAAAACTTTAAAAATATAAGATGAAGAAAACACAATGAAAACAAGTCAAGACACAGGCACAGCAATACCTTCCTGAATGGGACTCCAAAAGATCAGGAAATAATAGCAAGAATCAACAAATGGGTCTGCATCAAACAGAAGATTCTGCCAAACAAAGGAACCAACCGAGTAAGGAGAAAGCCCAAAGAACAGGAAATCTTTTCCAGCTCCTCTTCTGAAAGACCATTAATATCCAGAATATGTATTAAAAAATAAAACAACTAACAAGACAAAACTTAAACGTAAAAGAAAAAAATCAATAGGCAAAAGAATTGAGCACACATTTTTCTAAAGAAGTACAGCCTGCCAAGGTGGTAAAGCCTTGGGATCCCAATGTCTTAGGAAGCTGAGGGAAGAGGGTATAAGTTCAAGGTCAGCCTCAACAACTTAACAAGATCCTGTCTCCAAAGTAAAATAAAAATAAAGGGGCTGGGGTTGTGACTCAGTGATAAAGCAATTGCCTAGCATGTGTGAGGTACTGCGTTTGATTCTCAGCACCACATCTAAATATATGGCTAAAATAAAGAGATCCATCAACATCTAAAAAATTTAAAACAATAAAAATAAAATAATAAAGTTAGGGATGCAGTTCAATGGTAGAGCAATCCTAGGTTGAATCCCCAGTACCAGAAACAAACTAATAAACAAAGTACAAATGTTCAACATCTTCATCCTTCAGGAAAATGCAATTCAATATTGCATTGAGATGCTCTCTCTCCCCAGTCAGAATATCATTCATAGAGCATATATGTTTCTACTGCTTTAAGGTATCAAGTTTGTGGTAATTACCTATGTCATCCCTAGGAAATCAATATATGAAATGACATTAATGCTATCATATTGTTATCTTTAAAGAATAATTTTATATAAGTCACAAAAATGCCAGATGTCAAATCACAGTCCTAGACCTGATAGAGGATCACAAACACTGACTAAAATACAGTGTTCATAAGCTATATTCACACATTTACATAGTACCTATGCCATGACAGATCTGTTATGAATGCTTGAGATACACAGAAAAGTAAAGCTGAGTGTCTGTTTTCAAGAAACACACCCAGCCTAGTTAGAAAAATGGACAAATAGCAAATGCAGTGATATGATATATACTACAATCTGAATTTAGAGAGATGCATTCCAGCATGGCTAAGAGAATATGAAAAAAATGAGATTAAGAATAGTGTGAATCAACCCAGAAACTGAAAATAGAACTGAATAAATGAAATATAGTGCAAGACAGGTCTTAATGGTGCTTGTGGTGCTTATTATATAAATTAATAAATAGGGGTTTGATTATTATATATTATTTGATCATAGTTTTTAGTATAGATAATATTTACTGAAAATTTATTTACAATAAATTACTTTACAAAGCTTACAAGAACTACCAAATTACAAATGCAAACTTTAAAACCAGTAAGTATAAGTTTTTTCCACATACTGTAGTCATCATGTGTGAAATCAAGCAATTCTTTGATTCTAATGGATACTCACAGAATACTTGCTTGGGTGATGTAACAATGCAGTACTATGTTCCAATGCAACTGGTCCTACCTCATCAAATCTAGGTAATTATTAAAGAATCAATTAGTGACCCTACTCTCCTAGACCCATTCTAAATGTGACTCTTTCCTGAGAATAAATCATAAGACTAATTTTAACTCTGTTTGAATTTATGAGCTTATTGTGCAAAAAAGAGATGAAATATTAAATATTGAATTGCCACTGTAATGGTGAACCTCCTTCTCTTTATAGTAAAATTGAATTCATGAGATTTGCCTTTCTGAGGCAAATTCATGACTCATTTTTTTAATAATTTGTGTGTGTGTGTGTGTTTGTGCTGTACCTTTAATATCATAAGGTGTTTTAAATACATTTTCAATTTAGATACTTGCCAGCATTATATTAAATACCCATTGATTCACATTCTTAATCTATCATCAATGTTATTATCGCGTTTAATTTCCACTGCTAAGGGAAAGACTACATACTTTATAGTGATTTTTAAGGAAGTCGTGTTAAAAATTGTTGAATACACTTTTTTATTTTGGAATAATTCTAGATTTACAGAAAATTTTCAATGGAAATATGAAAGTCCCATGTATTGAATACTCAATTTCTCTTATCACTATCATCTTACATTAATATTGTATACTTTCCACAAATAATTAAATGGTATTTGTTACATGTGATATAATAAAATATTAATATTATATAATAATCTAATAATTTTGCTATGTTATTATTAACTAAGTTCAATATATGTGATTTTGCTTAATTTTTTTTTTATATAATATCCTTTTTCTTTTGTACTGAGGATTGAACCCAGGGGTGCTTAAACATTGAGTTCCATCACTGTATCCCCAGCTTTTTTTTTTTTTTTGAGGACAGAATTCTAAGTTTCTGAAGCTTACCTCCAACTTGAGGTCCTGTTGCCACAGCAACCCAAATGATTGGGATTATAGTCATATATCATCATAACTGGTTCTAATGATTTTTTGTTTAGTTTTTCCATTCCAGTATCCTATTAGAATACAGTGCAATCTGTTGCCATGTCTCCTTTGACTTCTCTAAACTCTAAGCTTCTCATAATTCCTTGACTTTCACTCCTCTACACTGCTCTACATTTTAGGCTTATTTGATATTCTCATGGTTATAGTGGTGTTATGTGTTTACTATACATTTTTAGAATGGAAAGTAAATAATTTTAATGTGTGTGTGTAGTGAACATTTATGGAATTTTGAGTGGGATTGCATTGAACCTATAAATCAAGTTGGGAAGAAATGACATCTTAACATTACTGAGTCTTCCATGTCATAAACAAGGAATTTGTCACTACTGACTAAGATCTTAGATTTTTCTCATCAGTATTTTGTAATTTTCCAAAAGCAGTTATTATACAAATTTTATAATATGTACATCTAAGTGTTTAAATTTTGGAAGACTGCTATTTTAAATGGAATTTTTCTTTGCTTTTTTCATATCAGTATTCCAATGTTCTTTGTTGGAAAGCTATTCACTTATATATGATTTCATATCCTGAAAGCTTGCTATACAAGCTTTGCAGTTTGTTAAACCAAATAGTAGATTTAACAAATCTACTATTTCCTGAGGTATTCTACCAAGACAATTATTACATGTGTGAATAAAGATAACTCAACCTCTGTACCTTTTATTTCTTTTTCTTGTCTTATGGAGTGGAGCTTCTAGTAACATGTTTAATGGCATTAGGGAAATGCTTGTTCCTAATTTTATGGAGAAAGAGTTTAGTTTTTAATAATTAAGCATTATCAGTTGTATTTTTATATGTAGCTTTAATGGATTATGGTGGCTCGTTTTTTTTGAGGTTTTTTTTTTGACAGTTTTTATCATGAGTGGGCATTGAATTTATCAAATGTTTTTTTGCGTCAATTAATATAATCATATGATTTTTTTATTCATCTGTTGATCTGATGATATAGTCATATTGACCAAATAATATATGGTATGCTAATGATTGATTTAATCATATTTTTATCTCAACCAACAGCTAGTCTAATGTATTGCACTGAATACTTTATGAGTATTAGATCAATCCTGATTTCCTGGCCTGGACTCCCCTTACTCAATCTAGGCATAAACACAGTCAATCTTATTATTTGCAAAGATCTTAAGATTTCCTTTTTAATATTTTAATATTAAATTTTACTTTGTCATGTAAGTTGATATGATGTTTACA